CTCTCTTCCCTCTCCTCCCCCTTCAGGGGCCACCCTGTGTTATCGTTAATTCTCCGGCTTCGGTTCATTTTTTAATGAACAAAATAATTTACTTTTGGTGCGATCAATGGCATATTTTGTTTGTGGCCATGTTAAGAAGTTGTCAAGTTGTTCAGTGAAGGGTGAAATTCCTTAATTCTCTCTGTCCCTGTTTTATCGACAGGTGGTTCAATTAACCCCAGCGAGGGGACACAGACAGAAAAACGAAGCAAAATTGGTACACCTGCTACAACCAGTAATCCTGACGGAAGCAAACCACTAATACAATAAGTTTAACCCAAATAATAATTATGCAAGTTTTTCTGTTAAATGAAAAATAAATATGATTATGAGGCTTCGTATTCTTGTTCAGAATTGAAGCAGAGTTTGTCGCAGAAGTGGCGACAACTTCTCCCAAGACGCCAATTTTGGATGCCATCTTCTTTCAGATCAAACGAAAGTGTTAAATCATTAATTAACAGAAGAAATTATTTTGATTCACGGAGATACAAAAAGGTTATTTAGTCCTATTCTTACATGGGACAAGGTAAGCCGTTTCGTTTAAACCCACGAATGAAAATTTACAAAGGAAATTGAAAATAAAACTACACTATCGTGTATGATTTTAGTTCTTTCCTGGCGATAGTTTTTTTGCAATAAAAAAATTTGCTAAATTTTGATTAGAACACCGATCACACGGCTGAATTTCAGTGGTTGTAAACAGTACAATGGATCAAAACAGGCTAAATAACTTTGGAAAGTCGTGAAGTAGCGACCCACTGTTTCAACCTGTCTAGTTATTTTGCCTTGTAAGGTATAGTAGTTTGCTATTATGTGAAGAGTCGACAGGGAAATAATTTTTTTCATTATCCTACCTTCAGTGAATCCTTAAACAAAACGAGTATCAACTCTTCGTAGAAAACCGTGTTCTTCTAAGATGCTACTTGTGTTCTTTGTGGAGAAATCCGATCAAATGTTCTATTTGCTTGTTCGATTTCTACAAACATTGTCATCGCCGCTTACACTCGAAATGGAAGAGAGGGAACCAACAGTTTGAAAACATGACCGACACTTCGTTCCGCCCTCTTGTCAGCTGACAGGTACATTAAGTGTGTAAATAGAGAAATTTTCCATTAAGTGTTCAAAGAAATCCATGAAGAACAATGAGTGCGCTTTACTCGTATTTCCTCTGCCATTAGTCTTGAATATTTCTGACCCCTGCTTGAACCAATCAGACTTACAAAAAAACAACAACAATGAACAATCCTAACACACTCACAAGATGCGTTTTCCCGCGCTCGAGGCAGATTCCTCTGTTCTTATTGACGCTTTTTTGCTTTTTCAGATTTGTTGGATTTTCTACATCGTTTTTCTAGAACAACATTTCCTTTCAACTGTTGGTTATGATCTTCGTCCTTAATAAGGTCACACTCGCTCGGTCTTTTTTTTCAAAAAGGCGGATGGAGGAGATACGAGACGAGAGGAAGTGGAGATAAGGGTAGTGTTAAAGGCTAATATTGACTATATATTGTAAGATATCGAGGTCATGGTTGCCTTAAGCACAAAAAATCGAGGACTCCAGACAAATATTAAAGACTGATCACAATGATCATACGACTGAAGGGAGAACTGCATGATCAATCGTATGATCGACAAAATGTAAATTAGCGCATGAAAGCAAACTAAGACAAACGTGGAACCTTGGAGCGACCACTTCTTTGCGGGTTTAATTTCTCCCAAAAAGTTTTCAGTCACAACTGGACCCCACAATGGATGGGGAGGATTCATTTTCTAAATTGTTCCTAACAGAAAGTGAATTCATTCAGGGAAAACCTACAATGAGATAAAAGAAACTATTTCATAAAACTATAGTTAACTTTTATTGAAAAAGTTTTATTCTTGTTACGTCTTAGATTTTAATTTTTTTTCTCTCTCTTTCTATTTTTCTTTCTGATGTCCGACTTTATTCTTTACAGTCTCAGAAATTTTTCCGCCACCTAGATTGGCCTGTTCCCCAGTCTCTCTCTCTACTTTTCTCAACCGTTTCATCAGCACGGCTTCGAGAGATTTTAAAATCTTTTTCTTCCATGGAATGCTCTCCGTCTCGATTCTCTGTCTAGTCTCGATAACTTTATTAGCAAGCTGTTGCAGCGAAGTATACTGTTTTTTTGGAGGATGGGGTGTTACAAAACTGCACTGTTTATCGTTGGCTTTTTCAGATTTGATAGGAATCAAGGTCGCAGCTTTCTTGGGTTTCTCTATTTCGCTGTTAGCACCAGATTCCACCTTTGGGGCTATCCTAACCACAGTTTTCGCAGAAACCTTGGAAATTGTGCTTTGTATGTTAGACTGTTGGTTTGCAAGTGCGCCACCAGAAAGAACCAGGCTACCATTTGTAAGCTGACCTGTTGGTATAGTGTTGTCAAGGTTGGCAATTGTGTTTGATTGCTGGGTTCTTTGTTGGTTTGTTTGGCGGACAGTACACGAAACAACTCTCCCAGTATCATTCCCAGGCTGCTGTTTTATCTGCGAGCGAGGGATTAGCAAATTGTTCACTTCTTCGTCACGAAAAAATTCTTGCCGGTTAGCAATACGTTGATGGGTGTTTGGTTCGTTATACTGAGTATGCGTGTCAGTGGAGTTGGGTCGTTGGTTTATCTGCTTATCATATGACAGGTGGACGTTGGCACTGGAATGTTCCTTTACATTTCCAAAAGCGCGTAAGCCTGCACTGGAGGGTCCGTTAAATTGCTCGTTATTCGAAATATTTTGGCTACTTGATTGTGCAGCAGGTGAAATAAGGAGACTTGGGGTGGGTTCTTGATTTCCGTTGGCAGCACTTGTTACTTTGACAGTAGTGTAGGATAGCTTTTTTTCTTGCGAGCTCGTGGTAAAATGGAAGTTGGCTGCAGATTGCCGGCCAGACTGTTCATTACTTGAAACACTGACTGTTTCTTTGGACTGTTGGCGGTCGTGTGCATTGGTTGAAATCCGGACGATAGTGCTTGGCCGCTGGTATACCTGTGCACTGTTATTGGCTACAATATTCTTTGCTGTTTTCTCCGTAGTGTCTGGTCTTTGAGCATGGATTTGCGAGGGACGGTGTCTCGGTGAACTCTCTGTTGCTCTGTTTATCATATTTTGCATACTTTGAAGAGGATCAATTGATGTTTTATCCCTTTGTGCACGGCAGTTGGGTTCCAAAACACAGTAGCACCGCTTACCAGAAGCTGCAGCACCACACACTTTCTTATGTTCCTGCTCTGCTGTTGAACTAACAAGCGGACACCCTTGAGGAATGGACTTCCAGTTTGAATCTCTGTGGCATGACTGCTGCCCAGGGGCATGGCCTTCACGTTTTACCACAACTTCAGGCTCTTTAATCTTATTCATCGTCCTCGCATCAATTTCTGCTACTGGTTTTTCAGTACGGAGAATGGGCATGTTGTCACTAATCAATTTTCCCCCTTTGAAGCGCCAGAGATAGCTTGACTTTGTTTCATGACCGCTGCCAATTTCAATACTGCGGGCGTCTAAATGCATGGCTTTTTTGGCAGCTTGATGGTCAGATTGCGCGGATTCCTTGCATGAACTACTGATAAAGTTGTTACAAAATGTTGTTGTTGTGTGTGAATTAACAAAAGGAAACGACTCCTTTTTTGTTGGCTTGGAAAATGTTTGTGGAAAGTGCTGAAGAACAGAGGCACGAAGCGAAATGTTTGCACCACTCTTTGTCTCCTTTTCAATGTCTGTTCTCTGAGAGTTTCTAGAGACATGACGGATGTGACCGATAATAGCGCTTTCTCCATCTCTCTTCGGACCATCAAATGTCAATTGACTATCATCGCAAGCGTAAACCTGATTGGTTTTCGGTTGCACTTGTGCGTGTTTGATAAGTTCTGCTGTCTTGATGTCGTGGTCACGGTAAGAAGCCAAAACAGGTGAAAAGGTGGATTTGGAGCCGATTTTCCCATTTAAAGATGAGCTCCGTGAAAAACTATAAATCTTCTCTTGAATAATCATAGGGGAGTGCTGCATGGAAATGCTTTCTGCTTTTTCCACGGTGACATTGTTGTGAACACGCTGTGAATTCAAAGAAACGGGAGAAGGATTCACAGGTGTCTGATGAACTGCCGATTTGGACAGATTTCGTGGAGAACAGTATCCTAGAGAAATAGCCTTAAAGAGCTGCGTACTTGGGGAAAGTTGAGAGTTACTTTGACTGACTTCATGGTTCTTTTGAAAGTTTAATCCACAGCTTGTTTTTACTCTATACTGCTCGGAATCCTGAGACTTTAAAATGTTCTCCAAATATCCGCTTCGAGTCTCCTTTTTTTGGCTCTTTTTTAACGTACACCAGACGTCATAGAGTTTGCGCAGCTCATTCAAATTCACTCCACTCAGCGTCTGTTTGTTAGGATCAATACTTCCTTGAGAATACTCTAACCATTCCTTTTGCAGGTTCTCCCTTAAAACACTTTTGACCTGCTCAACATTTCCTTGGAATTTTGAGAGCAGATGATAAAGTGCAAAACGCTCAAACGAGATATCCATGGATCTGTCTCCAAGATCAGTAGAAGAGGTTTGACGTGTGCCCTTCTGCAAATGGTGATCTTGAAGAAAACTTTGTTGGTCTTGCGATATGACTGGTCTAGTTTTGAGGTGGAGTACTTCCTGCAGTTTCTCCCTTGCTTGTCCATGCACTTCAACGGGCGTCCCACCGTGAAATGATCTATCTCGAGCGGCTTTAACCTTCGAAATAAAGGCTTTATTTCTCTCCCATTCGTCCTCATCTCGTGTGCTCTTTGAAACGGAATGCACTGCAACAATTTTTGGCATCGCCATGTGATCAAAGGCATACCCTCCACAAGATGAGTGATCATCGGTTGTTATTTGTCGCGGTACAGGTTGTGCTGTAAAAACCTTTTGCTTTCCGTTCCCCTCAGGTGATGGATGTCTCCCATTGGCTACGTCCTTTATCGGAAGTCTATGATCAAGAACTCTTTTGCTATTTGTAGCATCGTCCGGAGAAGCTGTTTTAGTCCCACATTGATCACTATCCATTATTGTGCTCCATTTAGCAGTTGTATGGTGGAAAATTTCTTTATGATTAAAGTGTGTAGTTATCTGGGATTTCCGTCCATTAGTGTTCACTACTGTCTGCTTCAGCAGCGGTGGAGGGGGAAATGCTGGCTTCAGTGAGTTTTCAAGCGACCGAGTCCTCTCGAACATTTGCTCCCTGACATCAAAAGGCTCTTGCAGCACTCCCCCTCTTTGATGGTCGAAATAAGCAGAACAACTCTCTAGTCTTGGGTGCTTAGAGTCTGGCGATGCAACACTCATTTGGCTTTGCTCTAAGGATCGCTTTGTGGGTCGATGAAGAAGTGGAGGAGGAGCGAGAGAACTCTCATGTTCTTGGACGTCTTCGGTGAAGATGCTACCAAGCTCTTTCGCTTTCACGTTTTGCCGATGGGAAGCAATTTCTGTATACGATGATACTGAAGTTTCTGAGAGATATTGCTGCAAAAGACTTTGCAATGTCTTTGTTCCATAAAAACTCCACCTGTCAGAGTCATTTTGTGGACCATCCATGTCATATGGAGTTATCATATAAGCGGCGTTTTCACAGAAAACACTTATGCCACTTGCACCAGAACGATATTTCGCTAACAAAACTTTGGTACCTAGAAAAAGCAGTAAAAGTATGTAATTATTACTACATAAATTATAGAACAGTTCCCAGAGGGAAAAAACTATCGTTTGAGGCAAAACAATATAACAATTGTGGAAATAATCGGTCAATAACCTAACGGAATCAGTGATGACCGAATTTTTTTTTTTTTTGTAGGGTGCTTCGTTGGTCTATGACGTCTACACGCACTCAAATCGCCTGATTGATTCCAAAAGTAAATTCAATTTGGGAAATGAAAAGGAAAAAGCCCCATTTCATCCTTTGCCTCGTTTGATGTGGCATGTTTACTGCTGTCAATAGCTGATCAAAAAGGTTGTTAATGATATCCTTGCACGTAAGTTTTGTCAGAAACTTCAGACTACTTCAAACATTTACTTCAAAATTTCCTTCAAAAATAGAGTTAGTTAAAAAAATATTCACGCGTTTTTTTTATGATCTCTCTAACAGGTTCAACAGGTAACTGGTTGTTTGAACTCGGTAGAAAAAGATACATTGCGACAGTGAACATAAAAATGATTCGCCACAAAAATGCGAGAATATTAAACACATTCATGGCAGTTTTATCGAGGAATAGTGTCATTCGCCTTCTTTGGTGACCAAAACGTCACGTCACAGGTCCATGTGTGAGTGTGTTCATACACTGAGATAGTTGCTTTAATGGTCGAGAGACGTGAAAATTAATGCAAGATTAATTCAAATTGTGGAGGAATAATTAACCTTTTCTCAGTTGGCGTTAGCCCCGGCCCTATTCTTAAGGGATTTTAGTACAATGATGGAGAACGCCATTAAAAGCTTATTATCTCAAATTTAATGAATGAAACTGTTTAATTTGCCTGTTACCTCAAATCATCCTTGCCTTTCCAAACTACTGTCAATAAACAGTAACTCCTGACAAGAATTACCAAAAAAACGTATTAGAGTATTAAACGACTCGTCAGTGCGTATCTGAACGATCACGAAACATAGAATCGCACCAGTATTGAGAGTCTTTAAATAATCGTGATTGAAATAATATCTTACCGTTTTAACTTGTCAGCCACACAGTTGATCAGTAGATCAGTATGAACACAAAAAAATCATCGCCGCAGTCACTATTTGTTGAGTCCGGTGTTGCAGTTGAATACTCCTGTGTCACTTTTGAGACATCATCGTCCCCTGAGGAGAATTTCTTCGCTGCAAGGAATATGGCCAACAATTTATAATCGTAAGTCTTTCTTCCCCGAAAAAAAAGAAATTGGTGAGTTGAGATGTTTTTAAGCAGTTGAGTGACGTAATAAGCATGTGAACAAGTGAACTGCTGGTATTAGCAAATCAGAATAGTACACGGATGAGCAATGCACTCAAGTGGCTTTCTGAGATTAGGCCACGTAAGCCACTGACCTGCTGATTACGTCATTCGTAAACTGGGAAACGCCTGTCGATTGGCTGAGAGTATAAACCTTTAAGTCACCTGTTACAAGTGTCAAGAAATCACAAATGTTCCAAACGCAGAGATTCACCAGTGTCACACAAGAGAAATGAAGATCATCATTGAGAAAATAAAGAGCTTTAAATTATCAGTCCCCTTTAATTTTGTTAAGGCTCTTATAGTTGGTCGCCTGTAATCACTAAAAAAATATCTGTATTAAGCGCGCTTTTGCTCGAGCAAAGGCTTAAGGATGAGATAAAAGTGAAGTGAAGTTAATGACAAAGATACCTGCTGCATCAGTTTCACTATATTCGCTGAAGTATTTAAAAGTTTCTTCATTTACAACTGGATTTCTTCTTTAGCTTCCATTCCGGTGACATATAGTCGTACGCATTGTTTCCTGTTCACGGCCGTGGCTAAACTCATCTGGCATTTATAGTGTTGACAAAAATTGTTCACTCACCAGCGATTCAACGATGACTTATCAATTAAACACACACCACCAGTTCATTACCTGCTGCCGGAATAAAAGTAAACTCAACAACCAATGCAGGTTTGGTCACTGGAGCGTCAAAACATAACGTTACATGTCTGTTCACAGTAAAATTTTGTGGGGACCAGTCTGTCTAGCAATTATGTATCGCATGGCGGGTCGGAAGATTTTGGTTGTATCACGATAATAATTACCTGATTCCCCATAAGGCTCTGTAATACTGTTACGATCCTTCCTCATTGGTAGTTAACCCTTTAACTCCCAAGATCTAATTGTCAATTCTCCCCTCTAGCTGCTACACATTTCCTTGTAAATAAGTTACGAGAATTTGGTGGTAGATCAAGATAACAACCTCCACCTGATAAGTTTGAGTATTCTCGTGACCTGTTTGCTGGATAATGTTTAGATATTACAGGGAGAAGTTACATGTTAATCACTTCTAGGGGTTAAAGGGTTAATCACCAGTCATTTTCTATATAGCACCCCTTGATACTCAGTTGGCGATGACTGATTCCCCTACATTACCCCTGAAAACCAGGTGATCCCCTAAAATATTTCCACCACCACCCCACCCCACCATCCCCAGGCGATAAAAAAATGACTGGTCCCTAAAAAGGTAAATTTCATTGGTGGTGAATTTTCACCGCTAAACGCTCTAGTTCTAACAAGGGTTTTACGGGGTTTAGTTACATCTCCGTGTTCTGTACGCATATAAATGAGTTCTCGTGCTCTCCTCACGGATGACAGTCAATTGAATATGTTGAAAAATCATTACCTAATTTAAGAAAGAAATCATTTATAACCAAAAATTTTGCGTGAGTCTACGCCAAGTGCTTTTCAAGTAGGTCTCATAGCATCTAGTAAATGAAGCTAGGAGATGAAGGTATACTCTCAAGCGAGACATTCATGGTTATACATCATGATTACTCCAGGCTATAATGGCCGGCTGCCAACTTCAATTATAGAGTACTTTCCTATTTACTAACAGAGAAATATAGGTAGAGATCACCACAAAAGCACAAAACACCAGAATGGATGTACCAATAAGAATAAATGTACTTAGTACGACATTTCAAACGGGTGGCAAAGATCGAAAAATAAGTGTGATTCAAATCGAAACTGTTTTATATTCATTTGGTAAAGAGGAGGTGTGCAAGCAAAAGCAATTTTTAATTTTGCGTAAGTATGACCGCTAGAGGTTAGTTCTAAGGGCACGAAACATGGTGGGCGGGCCACTTCAGAAACGCAAATTTTTTGGTCAGTGACAATTTCAACCTCGAATACGTCAATTTCAAATTTTTCATCTTGCTAGCTTCTCCTTTTTCAATATACATATTACTAGCTTTTTTAGAAGAAAAGGTAATATAGAATGGGAGTAAAAGATGCCTCTTCTAGAGCATTTGAATTATTAATAATTATTTATAATCTCGCAAGGTTATGGATGAGTGGACACCGATTGGAACTTGTCAGATCAACCAATGAACATTTATTAAGAGCCACGTAATCGCATTTGTCTATATTTGGAATTTGACATGGATGCAACTCCGGTAAATAACAGCTTTTTGGTAACCATGGCCGCGGAATTTGATCGAGGTCGTGTTGTCATCAATCGATGTTTCAGTATCTTTGCGACACCGATCATGAGTCCTGGAATTCAGGATTCTCCAATTTGACGGCCAAAAATAAACCACTGATCATAACCGTCAAAAAAATTTTCATCTACACGACATTTCCCGCAAATGTTGTCAAGATGAAAGTTTTTTTGGTTTTCGTTTTTCTTTTTTTACTTGTTCGAACATATTACTCCGTTTAACCTCTCAGCTCCATTTTCCATTCTGTCCTTTCTTTGTTGGCGCGCTTCCTACGTTTGTCTCTCTGTTTCAATATCAACTGAGTACAGCACTGGTTCCTCGCGACAATTTCGTGTAACTTGCGTGGTTTTCTCATGCATCACCTCTTTTTATTTTGCAGTCAAGGTGATCGACACAGTCGCACCTCTCCGCTAAAAAACTGAAGCGACGGGAAATAGCACATCGTTTTATGTGTAGATTTGAAGGAGTAATTAGTTTTTTTGTCTGATTTGAACTTGTAACAAAAACGTCATTTTTGTATCAATTCTAGTTTGTTACAGGTAATAGCTGGTACCAGCAGCTTCTTTCCCTTATCATAAGAGTGATTAGGCCGTAAAGGGCATAACTGAAGGTGTCTGAAAGACACCTGCCAACTTAATTGCATTAAGTCTGAGTTAAAAGTTACGCGCGCAACATTCACATCGCTTTCGTCGTCGAAACCATGCAACAAACTTATAGACCGCTCTGAAAACACCGCAAAGTTTCCGCTCTGGATTTAGAAATACTTTAAACGTATTTTTATCCCCATAAATCCAAAAAGGGAAAGTAGAGTGTATAAACTTTGTTTTTTATTCAAACTGTGATTAGTACAGCAAGTTTGACTATCAGAACAGAGGTATTTTCTTTCGTTTTAATTTTTGGCTTCTTCTTCCGACAAAAAGATAGACGTTGAGGGCAGATTCGTCCGCATACGTTAAGCTAACCCGGATAAACTTCTTTTTCAGATTTGCACGCAGGTAAATTAGCTTTATTTTCATTTGAATTTTTTGTTGTTTTCAGGGGTTTTCAAAATAAATCTCAACAAACTGTGACACCGTTTTTCTCGCATTTTATGCAGTAATGATAGAAAGCACACTGAAGTAGGTTTTTGCAGCGTAATGGATCAGGACTGATAAGAGGAATCTACAAACGTGCGCATCCAACTTAAGGGTTCAGTGTTGAACAACTTTCCCCGGACGCCGGAAGGTCAAAAAATCGAGGATTCAGCCAAAACAAATCGCTAATTAATTTGAATTTATACGGCCACTTCAGAAGAGTTTCATCTGCATGCCAGAGAAACCATTTGATTGAAAGCATGTTTGGACGCAAAGAAATTTTCACTCAAATACGTGGCCAGGAAGGCTTATTTGAAATTAGAAAAAAATGTTTTTAGTGCTCGGAATACAGGTTCTGGTCAAATACCGGATTTCATTCGTCATCTACAATAATATCACTTCCAGGAAGCTTAGCCAGTTTCCTCATGAGCACCATTTTCAGTCTACTCAGCCGAGACTTCTTCCATTCGATTTCTTCTTGCTCGAATCTCTCGCGTGTGTTATTAATCTTTTTAACAAGTTCATCTCTCAACGCCTCGTTGCGAATCTTCGCCGCCTCTTCCTCCTTTAACCTCGGCGCTCCTTTTCCTGCTTTTTTCTGATTGGTTGAATGCGGGGCTATCGATGGATTGCACGTTTGAAGTTCATTTGCTGCTTTGTTTGCTTTACCGGCAAGCGGTGGAAGTTGCTCCACACAACTCTGAAGTTGTGCTATGGAACTTGATGGTTCACCAACAATCGTGCACTCAGTTTCCTTAATTTCACAATCAGTTGTCACGTTACAATTAGAGTTAGTGCTGTCTGAACTTGGGGGCGAATCTGCTATTTCGATTACCTCGTGTCGCTTAGCAGCCTCTCCTGCCTTGGCGACCACGCCTGGCTTAACAAACTCACGTGGCTCATCAATCACCCTTCCCTTGGTAATCGCCCTCAGCTTAGCAGCGTTTGATGTGCCTTCACATATATAACTCTGTTTTCCACCCGAGATCACAGCTGTTTCAGTTCCTAAAATAGAAGTATTGACTGGTTTTAATATGTTATTGACAATACGGTGTTCGTCGAGTTTTGAGGCAGAAAATTGCGCAAGCGAAGTGTCAAGGCGCTGATCCGTTGTTAATGAACTAGTCGTTGAAGAAGTTGTGCTGTTAGATAACTGCTGACCTAAAGTTAAGCCACTGTTCATCTGGCGTACTTCGTTTTGACTCACACTACTACCTAGAGAGACTGGCTGTGATATTGTGACATTTCCGGAAATATTTGAATTAAGACCTGAAACCGTGTTTCCTACATTTAAAAACCGCTGACCAACGTTCCCTAATCTCCATCCTTCGTCAATGATCGAGTTGGTCGCATCAACGTAAATAGGACGCCCCTGATTGATTACAAGCGCTGTTGCAGATTTCTTTGGAAGAAGGAAACCTCCAGCTTTAGAGTTAGCACTTAAACCATACGAAACCTGGGTAATTATTGGAGTGACACTTTTGGTAGATGAAGCTTTACAAATTCCTTGTGTATTTTTGCCCGCTGTTGTTGCGCTTTGAGATTTATTCACCTGACTGTTGTTTTGAACAGAACTGACTGATTGATGGGTTCTGTTTAAAAGCTGTCTTAGCACTTGACAGTCTTTATTTGAGACATTCGATTGTCGGCGCCGTTTCCATGATTCGAGTATCTCCAATATTTTGCTTTTTCCTTTAGCTACTCCATAGGCGCGAGATCGAAAATTGCCTTGTAACGAATCAAAACTGCGATCAGGTACGGTGGAACGAGGTTGGAGGAGTGGAAGGCAGCCGTTATAAAAATTCGACTGATTTGGGTGAGTTCTCTGATCACTGCGATCTGTATTTTTGTTCCTAATGGTATGGCTTTCGGCATTTTCTTGTGACAAAGAGACGGCGCTACCAAGTCTTTGAGTTACGTTTCTCATCTGTTGATATCTACCATTGAGTGCACTTTTGTTAGGCCGCTTATTTATAGCATCATAGGAATATCTTGTGGCTTCAATTTCCCTACTAGAGGAGTCCGAAAAACCTAAGGGATTAGTCAAAGTTTGTTGGACGGGTTTCTCATTTGATGCAAAGTTATCAGTGATGCACTTTAGCGACTCACATCTGCTGTCGACTGTTCTCTCATTTCCTACTGAAGGAGTCCTTGTTCTTTTATCGAGAGCAAGTAACCCACGGTCGATAGTTTCTGTAGTCAGATAACCCTTCCGACCGTGACCGAGGGTACTTTGAGTTCCGGAGTTGCAACGCAGATTAGGACCGTTTACAATCTCCTCATCGCAGCTGAGATCAATTCTAGTCACGATATCTCTATTGACGTTAGATGGTTGATTAAACCATCTATCCGATGGGGCGTTAACAGCTCTCGAAGGAAAATGTGCTCTTGAACGATTGTCAGCATTTAAGTTTTGAAGTAAACCATTGATGAGCGAGTTCTGTCGTTCTTCACTAGCTTGAGCAGGAAGACGTAGCTGACCAGCAGGCGATTTTTCCGGCTCACCTTGAGGTCCGCACACGTACTCCGATGATTCGGCACTTTTTCGATTTATGTGAATCAGAGGCGGCTTGTTTGGCACTTTCGTGCTACTGCTGACAGGATGAGACTCATTTGCTTTTGTAGGTATGTATACCGTCTCTCTCGCGTTTGTTTGAGACGTTTGAACAGAACTTCTTCGCAACGCTGGGTGAATAGTCCACCGTACTTCCCTAGATTTCTGCGTGGAGTTCTCTTGGCATGGCATGTTTCTTGACTGCCTCATAGCAGATGACGAAATATACCTCGTCTTACCTCGCTGAATTAAGACCGTCTCGCCAACAGATGCAAGTACACCGCTTTTACTTTGGGATCCTGCGTCTTTCTCTCTCTGTGCTTTGGCTAAAACAGTTTTCTTTCCTTTGCTGTCAGTGTGAATTAAATACGACTCTCCTCTATAATAAAAACGTTGCACAGCAAACACTTCGTCTTTTATCACGAGAAACATATCTTTTTTTCCATCTTCCTGGGTGAAGGTCAGTAAGAGATCGTTGTGTTTCGGTGACTGAACTTTTGTATTAGAGTTTTCCGGGAGACTGTCATTCGAGGTCACAGAAGCATCCGCACTTAATTGATGAGCATCAGCAGCTTCTTCCTCGTCACAACAAATTACTTCAGCAGTACGTTGATCGGGGAAAGCCTTCCCATGGGGTATTGGTGAACTTGTCTGTTGCAAATTAGGAATTAATTCAGCTGCGGGTGAACTCGATGTTGATAATACTGAGCGCACGCTAACAACTTTAGGCAATAAGACATGATCAAATGCAAAACCTTCATGAACTCCAGAGTTAAGGCTCTTAATTGTTCTTGGAGTCGGTGTTGTTGTCACAGCTTGACCTAGCTCCCCAGATGGCAGGCCAGATTTGTCCGCATCGTTGTAACTATTAATGGTGGTCAGCGGAGACTCAAAATCCTCATGACCAGTAGTACCCTCATTCACTTTAATACTACGAGATAAGTCTTCTAACTGTCCTCCGGTGCTTTCAAGACTTTTAGAGTCGTTTTGTACCAATGGATTCCTATTATTTGCAATGCCTAGTCCAGAATCTTTATTTGAATCAAAGGACGGAGTAGTCGTTTTGTTTTCAAGCCACTGAGCCACTTCACTGACAATATTGAACAAGCTGGTTTTGCTTGAACACGAAAGACTTACTTCATTCTCCAAGAAAGATGAATCATCATTTTCCAGTTTAACACGTTTCATAAGGGGCACGTTTGTTCCATCTTCGCCATGAATCATGTGGTATTTCAGAGGTAATTCGAACGTAGGGGATGCAAGCTGGCCAGTGTTGTCTGTCGAATCATTCTCCTGTTTAACGATGCAGGTGGGGAGTACTTCTTCATTTTCAACGGGGCCTTGCAAAACTAAACGCAGAGGCACTTCTTTGCTGTTTTCCTTTTGCATTTTGGCAAAGTGGTTAAACGTCGACACAAATTTTCCTCCTAATTCCAGCTACACATTTGGCATTCAACATCTAAGCCAAGTCAGTGGTGAGTGCTTCAGTTGCCTTTCAATACATGAGCTTTTCCCAATACTAAAAAATCAAAATGACAGCAAAGAAAGCGAAGAGAAGGAGAAACAATAGGTTAAAAACCGTACCGTGAAAATTTGACTAGAAAAAAAAAGGATCCATGAAACCAAAATTAGATTGTTCCCACACCGGGAATCGAACCCGGGCCACGGCGGTGAGAGCGCCGGATCCTAACCACTAGACCATATGGGATACGATGTGAATTGAGAACAGAGCTGTAGATTTATATCTAATTACTTGAAAAAAAAACATTTCGTGCATAATTCTCATAGGTGTAACCGTGTCGTCTGCGTGGGCCTGCATACCCTACTTAATAGATTCTTGGGAATTAATTTGCCAATGTCTCGTGTTCATGGTTGGACTTTGAAACTGACGGTCACCGACCACATAAATAACAACATGTACTCACCACATTTCTAACTTTTAAGCCTGTGGATTTCCTTGCTAGAAACTCTTTCCTCGTTGTTCCTCGACGTTGGCAAGTTTCTCCCATGTGGTACTTGCAAATTCTAAGACCTTAAAATAATTGAAAAATCCACCATCATAGAAAGCAAAGCTCTGCTCTTGCTGGTGTCATGGCTAAGATTCAAATCTTCTCTACGCCAAATTGAATTCAAAAATTTCCCTTTGCGGGTCGATTTTGCGGTGGAGTCATGCAATACGTCTGACAAACAAAATCCGTCGCTCAGGGCTCTAATTACTCCAGCGCCTGAACAATTCGCTCAAATTCTTGGGTTTTTTTCTTGGCCAAGCGGCGACGAATACGGATAAAAATCGAATTTGTAAATATGAAGCGACAGTGGGATCGTAATAAATGCATACAACGAGAAAGATTCACCTTAAAAAAAGTCTTTGTCCAAATAAATGTGCTTGAAAACAAAGCGCTTCATCAAGAAAATGGCAGCTGTTTTATGTACCTTGGATTGACAACATGTGCTGTTCACGTGATTTTTCAGACTATATAAAAGCGGTTATCATGAGCGATGTAGTTTTCACATGTACTTTGACCGTTTGGTTGTCAACTCATGATCATCACACGGTAATACAATTTTGAATACTTTTTTTATCAGGACTTAGTAGGAAATATTAAAATAATATCTTACAAGATCGAATTTCCTTTCTCAACGAGAAACATGTCGAGTGTATGATAAAGAAGAAAGCCTTTAAATACGAACTTCCGATTCAAATACGTTCAGATTTTATTCCATAACACAGTTGCTCCCTTCATTAGTTTGGAAGTCTTAGTTTGCGACGGAACTTGGTTATACCGATCACTGGCGAAGGTGGCAAAGGTGGTTCAATGGTTCATTTAGGCGAGCTATGCCAGAGCTAAGCAATGCCAGAGCTATGGCAGAGGATAAATTGTCTCTTTAATGACCAATGCCGAAAATCGCTGGTAAAGAAAGCAGTCCCACTAAAACCACACATGAGCGTAGCGCTCTGCTACCAACACGAAAGCGTCGAGCCGATATTTTTCGCTTCACACGCTCAACATATCACTTTAAAAATATCACATTTCGTGCTAATTTTTTTCGTTTTAGACCTGAGACACAATCATAAAAAGGCATACCTCGACAGCTCATATATGGACGACTTTGGAGATATGAGGAGAGTCGACAGATCGGACACATATGATGCAAGTTTGCCTCGTGACTACCTAAGTTACGATCTTATTCAAGATAATTTATGCGGGCCGATCGACAAAAACTCAGGGTACTTACCTTACTTTATTCACGAGTGTAAAACTTCCGCACTTAATATCGGACCGATCAAATGTCTGCTGGACCAAATAACTCCCTGGAGAGTCGACCCAAAGAAGCAAGAGGAAAATATGTTCGAATATTGAGGGTCGACAAGCCCAGTTGATTATGCTAATTATCATTAAAATTTTTATCACTGTGGACTTCCATAAAGCCCATTTCACGAAATATTTTTGTCCAGAGTAATCCTATCACAAAGATACCAACACATCTCCCCTTAAACACTTCGAAATAGAAGAAAAAAAAATGACAAAGTAATAGGTTATACCCTAATGAAAAAAATTGAAAAATGTTTCTGGCAGGGCTCGAACCTGCGACCTTCCGCGTGTTAGGCGGACGTGATAACCACTACACTACAGAAACCTCCGATGTTTTTACTTAGTAAATTATTGAAATGAATAGTGTGAATAAATTGACTCAGTTACCGTGGTGGACTCTACATGCTTCTTACTGTACTTAAAAAACAAAATACCCACAAAAAAGAATCAAAATAAACAATAATAATGATACTGTTTGATTACAAGTTATCTTTAGGTGTGTGTGGAGCTTTTCAGTAAAGAATATTTATGCCGGCAAAAAAAAAACGGAATTACTTGTTTTGCACCAGGTACAATTCCATTCTCAATCCTGAAAGAAAAATACTTATCATAAAGGTAGGCTTGGCAGCCACAGCGAAATGATATTACAAACTTTATTGCCAATGGCTTTTTCGACTTTCTTTTTTTTCAGAATTAAACCTGGTCGTTTTAACCCGACGGATCTGTCACACAACTATGTTGAGTTTAGGTGTTGCGTGACGCAAAACCGTTAGTGACAAAAAGTGTCGGAATAAAAGAGACTTATCAAGTAAAGGACTTGCTCCTCTCTCTTCCCCGAGAAAAAATTCCTTTTTCTTCTCACATTTTAGTCGGCAGAGGTCACCTGCAGTTAAGGGAATTCTGTTTTTTGAGCAACTCAGTAGCAGGCTGTCGTCAGTTAACAATTTCGCGAAAAATGTTGTTATTTTAAAAGATTTCCTCTCTTTCGTCACTAATATCACCTCAAAATAAACTTCCACTGAGGAATTTACCTTGAATGTATCATACTGACGCCGTTAATTTGATTCCTCTGAACCATAGTTTTTGTATTCCTCTGAGGACATTTTGATTGTTTTCTGTAACGCCGAGTAAAACTTCCTTCGTTTCTGTGTTTCCAGTATCAGAAACTGGAGTTATACGTTTCCGGCAGACCAGCTTTTGACGCAAGTTGTTCCTTCAAAGTTGTTGACCCTTCAAACTAAGCAGCACAGCAATAAGAGTGCCTTCTTGGCTTTCCCGTGATGCTATTTTGATCCTTCGTTGTGGGCATTTCCATCTGTGCAAACAAGAAAAGCGCGAGAATACACAAGGTGACACAAAACCGCTTCAGTTCAGCGTAAATGAAACAAATATTACCTCTCAAGATTCCTGGACTATTTAGCGAAACGGGATAGGAAATTTAGACGATACAATTACCCAACATACAACATAAAAGTGAAGAGAAAGGTTGCAGAAACACGCCTCGCACTCGGCCAAGAACTTCCATATAGTTTAATGATGCATTGCGCTACGCTCTCTTGCAGTCCCTCACGGCCTATAAGCTACCACAATTGGCAGAGATGTTGCAAGCTTCTTAATCAAAGCTGTTTTACTAAGTTGTTGTAATTTCCATAATTTGTGCGCTCCATGAGTCTACAACAGTTTGACTACTGTGATAACGATTATCATTACTGATAAGGGAACAGACCATACTAAAACCACTGTCGATTTGTTAAGTCTAACAAGATGAATTAGGACTGTGAGATTTTGCGAATGTTATAAATTGTGTACTGAAAGTAATGTAATTGACATTTCAATTCAGTGGGAACGTAGCTTGTTATGTAACCGGCAGCATGTATGTGCATTATCAATGCTGGTAGCGTGGAGGATGGTTTTGGAGAATTCTTTATTTAATTTGCAAGTGAAAGTTATTGTGCTAATAAGAGGTGGAATATAAATATAACAAGTTATCAAATATTTAGAAAAAAGATGTAGTATATATATCCGTACAGTTGCATTAAAGGAACGTCATAGCGCGTTGTCTGCGTAGCTTGCGGTTTTGGGTGCGACATGGAAACTCTTAAACCGCACACAAAATTTCCGACTCCTTGGGCTAAATCGTGTGGGTTTCTTTATTTAGAATTTCCTAATGGCTTTGAAGAAGTGAAGATGGCTAAAAATAATTTTGCTATCTTTGAACACAGTTCTCTGACGCATTGCAGTAGCTTTACAATTTAGTCATTTGTTTCCTTCAAAATGGTATCGGTAAAAAAAAAAAACAAAATTATCTCTAAATTAAAAGTGTCAATTCCGGTTGCTCTCAGTCGAATATAAGGATGTTTATAAAACTTCGCAGAAATATGAATCTTGATATACGTGCTTATGGATATATAAACTCGATACAAACAAACCTATTAAGCGGTCACCCACAGAACAGTTCCACAGATTAAGGGTGTTATAAAAAGACGATAAAAAATTAAGTTTTATGCCATAATTGACCTCATAATGTACAGAATCTCGCTCAAAATACTACTTATTTTGATTTTGGAAGAGAAAGATAGAATTTTCACGAAAGATTGATTATTCTTAGTTTTATTTCGGCGGTTTGGCTTTAAGTGACAGTTCACTACAGGTAGAATGCAATATAAACAGGCCGTTGGGACTTAGTAAAGGATAACCGCGACCGCTTAATAGACTTGATAGAGGTGAAAATTACAGTGATTAGGGAGTTAAAGTCCACGACGTCAAAGGGAACGGAAACATCACTGAACAAGAGATTTAACGAGCAGAAAAATGGCTGTGCAAGAGCATTATAAATCTTTGTAAATTTTTGTGCTTCCTCTGCCAAACAACAATGTGAAATTACCAAACTTTGCCTTGTCCTTGAACGACGACATCTAATTTTATAATTTCTATTTCTCAGTTAACGCTGTGTTCCATATTCATTTCGAGATAGTTTTTACTGTGAGAAACACACTAAATGACTTTGGGGTATCGCGAGATTCGTAGGTAAAATATAAGCTCATTTTTTTAACCAATGTTGTCGACCAACGGCGTCGCAGTGATCGTTTCTTTACTCTCTAAGGAGGGGAAATAAATAACGGGTCACCGCTGAATACGGTGCCGCCTATACAGGTTCGAGTTGTTCTAGTATCCTGTGGTGTTACTCTGGTAGCTAAATATACCAGAGAATTGACTACACCATGGTTAGAAATAATAAGCCTGATTAGCTTATATGTTTCGTTTACCCATTTCAGGCCGCTTTTGTAAATGATGCGTACATATGCAAATGAATAAAAGGAAATTTTAAAGAAGAACTTTGAAAGAAACAGTTCTCTTCAGAGTTTTACCACATGACATGAAATGGGCAAGCAAAACTGAAAGGCTAACGAGGGCTACTGAGCAGTTTTTGGCACTATTTTTAAGGGCACAAACAAAGATTGATAGTGTCAACCGTGAAGGAAGTTGTATTGGAAAGGAGTAAACAATTTTTGGCCTATATTTAGCGAGCCATAACTAGCAACATCATCGCCCGCGGGCAAGTAATTACAGGCTATTACGAATCAACTGTTTGAATGCGTTGTTTTTTTGTCGCTATAAATTCTTTGACAGCCGCCGTTCACTCGGTCAAATGAAATTATGCGTGCTCGGAATGATTGATGGTGATCTGGCTAATTCGATATAAACGGATCCAAGTACAGATTGACTCAATATTTGTTGAACAACGTTAGGACTCGGAAGGAAAATACGCTGAGCCGACGCTGTGGCGTTTGATTGGTCTGTCACGTCATTTGAACCACTGGCGGTCTTACCATTCAGGATCTCTCACGACGCTTCATGTGCGTCAATCATAGCATCTCAGCGATTGCGGTTTTATGCCGTTCATCGCTTAAGTGATACATACCATACCTCTTGCCCATGATTGGTCAAATCACACACAAATTAGAAAAGATTTGTCGTAAAACTTACTACACGGCGCCGCATCAAAAAATATTTTATTTATTGTTATCGATGTCAGAAGTGCAGCGCCGTGATCAAGTTATCCTGTGAAATAGTGCAGAGCAGACACTGAGGCGTATCTGTGTTAAAGTTCGAAGTTGACCAGGTAAGTTTTTTCGATTTGCGTTAACTCTATTACATACCGAATGTAAGAGACGCGTTACTCGTGCCTCACGCTGATCAACTGCCGCATTCCTGACTATTGATTCTACTCTCACATTCGCCGAACATTTGGCGAGATCTGGCATGAAAGCTGCGGGCTCCTTAGAGCACCTGTAGTGTCTTGTTTGAAAAGCAACTTTGCATCTAGACTGAGAAAATTTGATATAATGATAATACCAGCAGTCCCACAACTTCATTCATCGTTTCGCCTTCAGTGAAGCGAAGTGATCAAATTCGATGCTTGATTGCGTCAGTCGCTTTTATGATTCAACTGAGAAGCTCATCTGCTATCGCAAGCCTTGAAGGACACTCCCTAAGAAGGAAATGATCAGTCCTGAGTAAGAATTTACTGATTAAAAAATTATACACAGTCGACTATTCATTCGTTGTAATAGTGTAATTGCTAAATAAAGAGAAAAACCAACCGGAAAACAACTAAAAAATTTATTCATAAAGTTTTCAGAGTTGAGTCAGTCAGCTTGAATTCATCACGGAGTCGAAAGGATTCAATGTTAGTTTCGCAAGCGGCATTTATACGGAAAGATTGTTAATTTTTCTCATCAATGGTAAATTAAAATTTAAAATCTGAGACAGTGACATCAAACTGTCTTTGTGTTTGTCATTTACACTGCAATAGAGGAGATGTCGTATTCTTTATTGATAGTAAGAAGTACTGGCGCTATTGAGACTCAGTCAAGCTTCATAACAGTATTGACTTCCTGTTCCAAGCTGAAGCGAGGTCAGTGTCACATAGGAAGTTTTTACAAAGGTTCTAATAAGTTTGCACCTCAGGCAAAGAAAACCTTAAAAAAGTTTTTTTCTCATGGCGAAAACTGTCAAGCTCAATAAACAGCGCGTATTGACTACGGACACGTCAAGGGGTTTGAAGGCAGTTATCTCGCGCGTGCATGCTAACTATTCAAGGAATGATATAGCCCTTGGGGTTCTCCACAGATCTGTGATAAACAGACGTGACGAAAGGCATTTTATTCATTTATTCAAAGAAGAAGACCAAACAAAACATAATGGGTCACGTTAATTAAAATAACAACAAGGTTTTTGTGTCACTTATTTCTAAATAAACCGACAAACAGTCTTAAGTTGCTCACATGAAAACCTTCTTAAATTCGATTTTAATGTTTCCTACAATTTTCAAAATTAAAGTAAGATTTTAAAGTTGGCAAGCAACGTCTTAGAAATCTTCAATGATTCGGACAGAACATTCCGGTTCTATCTAGGAGTTTGCGCAAATGAATAAATTTAATTCAACTTACTGTCTCTGCAATGTCTACATACCTAGCAGTCAGAAATCTTAACAGAATTCCCAATGAAAGGTTCTATAACACTTTATAAAGGATCAGAGGGTTTAGAAATGTCAAAAGACTACGAGAACTATTTGGATTTTCAAGTGTTTAGTTGAAAAATTTTCCAAGCTTGTGCACACCTAGAGTCGCTTGGGTTGTAGACACAAAAACATTTTAGGCTAAGCTGCATAATACCCTGCCACTCATTTACAAGTCATTGAATGAGAAGAACGTTAATTGTGTTATGCCTCGATCTTCAAAGCCTTCCGACACGTGTAAATGAGGTGGACCAAAGTGACAGGGTATTCTGCAGTTGCTCCCAAAATTGCTCGGCATTTCTAAACAAGCATCGAAGAATTTTTAGTTGGTTTGAATGAGGTTTTCTGTGACAACTGGGCATTTAGTCTATTTTCTGACCGTGCCTGGCATTCCGATCAGAATGATTTTCTATTAAAGTGTTGTGGTATCGCTTGATACTCTTAAGAAGTTTGAGAGAACCTTTCAATGGAAATTATATGAAAATTTTTGACTTCCGGGCATTCATTCCTGCCCATGTGCAGTGCAGTAAACAACAACCTATTGAATTTGGTTTGTTATTTTATTGTAGAGGTGGCGCCAAACATGATTCACGTCAATGGACATCCGTCTTTTCCGCAAAATTGTTGGGGCCATAGAACTTTTCACTCTGCTCATTGTAATAATTCTCATTCCACGGTGAAGTTTACAACTTCCAATGGAGTCTACTCTGCTGCACAGAAGATTCCACGTGAGTAGATAATTTAAAATATTCGTGATCAACCTATCATGCAGTTTTGAATATTTCTAAATGTGTTTAGGGTCACATGTATTTAGGGAATAAATCTGTGATTACTGTATTGGTGCGCAGTAATTTTGATCGTGATTACTTCTTCTCCAAAATTTTCACAGCCTCTCGTTCCTCTTATCAAGCGCCAGCAAAAATCTTAAGCTTAGGTCGAGGAAGTGGAAAGAATTTAAGAGGGAGAAACAAAGACGCGCGCATTCACGCGCTTCGGAACAACGCTGTCGCCTTCCCTTACTTGCACAAACACTGCACACTCACACACCCCTCCCCTGTCTCTTGCATTGTACTCTTATGCTCTGACTTGTTCCTCAGTCGCCTCAAAATGTGCACAGCGGTTAAATATATGCACAGCGGTAAAGTACATCGTGACTAACAAATCGGACTCCACTCGGTTCTAACACCATTATCAATCAGTAGAGGGTGGTTAGCAGTGTAATCCGATCGACATTTCAAGGTATGAAATTACCTTAAATGACTCTTTCAAATGTCAGTTGGGACTGAAAGGTGCTTTGATCACAATGTAAGCATATATTTCTATTTGTATATTTTAAAGGCTTTCTTTACTCTAATAGAGGGAGTATATATGGTGTAAAGAGGTTTCACATGCTTAATTGATTCTTTTTCTTTCGCACACAAACTAACTTCTCTGTTCGTCAGTATTTTCAAAAGGTTCCTCGCTAACAGCTACTCTGCAGGAGTTGATCCATGAACTTTTGTTAAGAGGGGGGGAACTTATATTGTGTAGCAACATGCGATCCTGTCGTTGCAAGAATGTTGGTGTCGAACAATTAATTAGTGGGGCGTCCGATCCCCCCCCCCCTCTCCCCCTGCGACCTTGCCAAAGAATAACGTAAGGACAAAATCAAAATCTGGACATACTTTTCTCTTTGTTTTCCTCCAGCTTTCTCTTGTTCTTCGATACTGACCGCGGCAAGCTGCAAAACTACATCTGATAACTTTTTCCGCAAAAACCGCGATGGCTTTGGACTATTCTTGACCAGAGAGGAAAAAGCATTTATGAATAGCCAATTCTGCTGCGTTTCATCTTCAACTGAAAATGGAATCGCCTTAAAGCCAAACCATTCCACAGCTGAGACGTACCATCACTTGGGCCGAGACTGTGGCATTGCAGACTCCTGTTATGGCAGCACAAGGCGTGGCCTAATGTCTTCCCGCAACGAACAGCTTCCATTGACAACCAACTGCAATCACGAAATTACGAACCTCTGCATGAAGGTGTGTCAACATTCAACAAAAACGACGTTTAATAAAGTCACCAATCAACACAAAGAAACGGGCAAGAGCTGTACAGCAAAAGATGGTTCGATCGAGGGATGTGCCTCACCTGTTAGACAAACGGATGGTATCCTCACCATATCTCAGGCCTGTCCTGATGTAATGGAAGGTAGTGTCTTTCACAGCTCACAAGAGCAGAAGCCCAGCATACCAGGAGTGATAAATCAGGAGCATTGTCCTTCTTCATGCCCTTCGCAAAAGCCAACACCAAGTCTTATTTCAACATGCAACGAAGAAGAGAAAAGACACAGAATTTGCTCCGTCAACTTTTGTTATTCATCAGCTGATGGAACTCAAGGAAAACCAGGAAATGGCATGGGACGCGCTGATTTTCTCTCATTTAAACGAAATGCTACAACTGCTGCAGATCGTGATAATTATCCCGAACAACAACGCAAGAGACATTGTTCGGGTGACGATGTGCTCGGAATTATCAATGATCAGGTATCTAGCGAGGTTTCTAATCCGAAAGATGCTTGCAAGACGCCTCTAAGTCAACCTCACCCTGACAAACGTTTGTATGGTAAGGACACAAGCCTTAAGGTAAAGAGATTCGGCGAACTTAGCCGATTGCCTGAGATGACACCGTCACCTAGTCAAGTGAAGGCCATCACTTCCCAAACGTTAACTTCCGCCAACAACACTTTTGGCACTTTCACGTCCAGTGTTCACGTCAACCAGTCATACGAAATAAAAAAATCGCTTGAAATTGGAAATTCGCCAAATAGAATCAGCGCCAACATAACCTCTTCTGGTGCCCTCACTTCTGATATCGCCATTACTTCCACCAACAGCAAAGCTAGGAGTAACAAGATAACACCAACGAATCAACCAATCATAATTGACCTAACCGATGAAACCGAAAACAAGCGAACCAATTCAGAAGTATGTCGATCAGGTGACCAAGATCCAAATGATGCAAGACTTTTCGAGCGTCGAAAAGACATCCATGAAATTATTAACACAGCGAAACCAATCCAGCGTGATTTGTTGGAAAGTGACAAAGCACCTTTAAAAAGTGGCGTTGCTTTCGATCATGACTCTATGCCAAGATTAATCGAGGTACTTCCGTCGGCTACTGCAAATGTCCTATCGAGTTTAGTACATTGATTCGCCAATGGGAGAACTTTCTAGTTCAGTTCTTGGCTTTTACAACTTGCAAGACGAGTTCAAACTGCATGGGTAAAATTTATAGAAAATGTCCTCTTTAAACAACTGCGCACCCCTTTGTGTCTTTTCGTTGTGTGACACATGTCCTGGTCACGGGCAAACACTAAAACGAACGTCCCGGCTGAATTAATTCAGATGGTTCCCAACTGACCAGTGCAACATAGCAACAGAGTTGGATTTTTCATAGCAAAACGCTCCAACTCGTTTATCTCTCAGTAAAGTAATTAGTGGCTAAAAATATAACTCATATCATTTAAATTGCAGTTTACCCTTAGTCCCCACCCGCCCCTCCCCCCTTTCCTTTTCAGCGTGAAGATTTAGCGAGCCTCAGCAAATGAAATTGAAAGATCAGACAAGCAGATGATATGTACATATATAGCTGAATGAGGTAATTTTTTTTTTCGGATGATGAAACGTACTTTGTCCAGTAGTAAATTTGCTGTCTCCTTATTTTTCCTTAAAAGTTTTCGTTTAGTGGCCTGGTCAGTTACAATTTTCAATCAACCCGACCGCAGTCTGGCCAAGTCTTTCAGCGAAAAAGAGGCAATATGAACCATAAAAACAGAAGTAATTAGGGCTACAGTTTAAAAACGGAATTGTAACTATCGATACTTAGTCACGAGTCTGATATTTCAGTTTCTTACGAAAATCAGTTCGATTTCCTTTTCTCACCCAGCTTACTGCTAGAAGTATAGTATTACGCCACAACTCGGTTTTTTAATTAAATGAACATAGTTACTTTCCATGACTATAATCAGCTAAACTACTGTAACCGTTATCGGTGCGAAAACTATGTCGTTTGAAAATGAAAATTTTGTCAACTGTGGATAAATATGAAAGAGAGATCTTACAGGATCGATGTTCTCCGTCTCTCTCGAATTCTCATCATTTATCCACTTCAGTTTCGTTCGGTTCAATTGTTCACGAGGCACGTGTCAAAAGCAGCGCTTAATTTTAGAAAGAAAACGGTGTCTTATTTCAGTTTCATGTTCGTTATGGTAATATGTTTTCAGTAATAATTTGTAAATACATGGCTTCCCGCGACTTCAGATAGAAGGTATGTTTTCAGTCGACGTTCGCCCTGTGGCTGTTGAGGTCACAATCTGACCCAATCTTCGTGACGAGGAAGCGAGTGATTCAGTCACTTGAAATTTATTCAACAATTGGGTAAGTAATCTCGTCAAATTAAATTATGCGAGTGTAGACTTGGATACGGGAGGTTTGGGAATATTTTCGTATCTTTAAAATGAATCCTATTGAATCTTGTTCTAGATTTCCATCCCCAAAGTCCTCGTCGTATTTTCATTTCTACTTCACCGCTTATAGTAATTTTTTTAATTGAATAATATTTTTTTGGTCCCCTTCGCGTTGAAGATATATATATATATATATATATCAGGAAATAATGTGGCTTCAAACTGAACTACATAAATTTATTTGAGATGATGAAGTCAACTGGAACTTTAGACTTCTTTTCTTTAGCGCTTGCTACAGAACTTCTGTTCGTAGCGTTTAGTTTAAAATGCGACGACGAGGGATTTCCGGTTGATTGGTTGTCATCAAAGAGCAACAGAAATAGATTCATTCATTCTCTTTCCGGAAAGCGTTCGCGTCACAAGTTTTTCCTATTTAGAGTAATACTTAGTTTCCTAGTTCATAGCACCGCGCACAACAGCGACTTAAACATATATTTGAATGATATTCCTCATTCCAATTTTAAACTAAAAAGTACATTTAATGCATTCAGCGTCCGAAGTTAAACTCGCATATTTATGGTGTTATTGAATTTACCTAATTAGCGTGATCAGCCTGAATTTTAATATAACGTTGTATAAAAGATCGGTTTTACTTTAAAAAATGCTATAGCGTTAAATGGACACCTAAATAAAAAAAAAAATCGATGAAAGATGAACAGCGGGAAAGAACTAGACAAAATATAAGATACGTGCTTGAATAACATGTAATGCAAGATTTTAGCCAGAGGGCTTCAGCGAAGACGACGACGACGAATCGACTACTTCCAACATCAGATCACGTCTCAACTAGTGTACATATATATATACCGTTAGAAATAATTCAAAAGGAGGAGAGGATGGTGAAGATTAATTCCTCCACCCGGGGGGGGGGGGGGATTAACCTTCACCAAAAAATATTATTATATTACCATTGACCTTCCCCAAAAAATAATCAGAATACAAAACAAATTCGTGGATCGAACTTCAAGACTGTTTCAACAGAAAAAAAACAATCACATCGAAAATTTATGCATTTAACATGTTTAAATGCATCCAGCCTGAGA